TTTTTGAAATTTTTTTTTTTTTCACGCCTTGGTCCAAGTCATCAGACTGTCCCACGCGGCTCTGGACGCGGGAACAACCCCCTGCCACATAGACGCAGACTGAGAGACACACACAACAATCCCCTGCTGAACTTTACGGACTCTGGTGAATCTCATGAAAACATGACATTTTTGAAATTTTTTTTTTTTTCACGCCTTGGTCCAAGGTTACATTGTATCCCAAAATCAAAATAAATAAATAAGATATTACATTTAGGATACTTAAATAAAAGTTGGATTATTTTATAACCAGGTTTTTGAAATAATTGTTATAATAATTAAATAAATTGCCCCTCTAAAATTCTCATTACTGCATTTCATCCAGAGGCGTATTAATATTATTATTATATTTTTAAATTTTTATTCATAAATATATAAATTTATAATATATAATTTTCAGCTGGGGTTTCTTTAGATTTATTACTGTCAAATGTTTTAATTTTACAGTAATACTGTTAATCAGCATAAATTAAATGTAAATTCTGTACTGTAAATCCTGCCATTATGTATAAATATTTCACTTATTTCAATATTTAATTTACTTTAACATTACTGATATAATAATAATTATTATTATTATTATCATCATCATCATTATTTGTTGTTATTGTAACATAGTAACACAGTAACATCGTATTTAAATAGTGAAATAGTTATATGCAATTGCTCGATTTGTAGTGCTGAATTTAAATAATAATATTTTTAAAATTGGGGATTTTTTTTAATTGTCCTGAGAATAGTCACAATTTAATTCTGTGATTTTTTTTTAATGCAAAATATTTCTTTTTTACTTGTGTTGATTTTGGGGTGAAATGAGGCCTGAGTGTGTTTTGGCAGGTTTTTCAGATGGGATGGTTCCAGATGGATGGATCTCAGTCATCAGTCCTCCCTGAAGGTGCTGTTCTTGGTTACAGACAGAAGTTGTGTTTGCTTGTTTCTCTTTGTTCTTGTTGCCTGATTCCATTCGTCTGAAAGCCATACAGAGAAAGTGTGTCGTAACACTCGGATCCGTGTGATGAGCTCTTGCCTGCACGCATGTGTGCTGCTGCGAGACGATGAACGCTGCTTTTGTTTAAAGCGTTGTTTATAGTTACTGAGCGGTCAATTCTTCTGACTGACGTCTGGACTGTGTTCATGTGTTCACGAGTGAGTTTGAGTGTATTGTGTGTGTGCGTTTATGCTGTGTTTGTTTCTGTTCCTTGGACTCCGAGTCTGGAATAAAACACTCCTAATGGAAACATCATGGTGTCATTTTCTGTGTTTGTGTTGCTGGGTGTTTTCTGAACAAACTGCCCAACTGTGGAGAAAATTGCGAAATTTTCATATTATCGTGAACGCAAGCGAGTTCAGCTACACAAGCCATGATGTCGTTGCTCAAAGTACGTTACCTGAACGCCGGTCTGTTTTCAATTCAACTGCCGTCAGTTGGTTTAATCAATTATCCATCTAACCCTACCAGACAAATGTTGATATATAGCTAGCTGTAATGATAACACATCTGGTTTAATTAAACATACATTTGAAGGAAACTCTAGCGCCCCCTTGAGTACTGCGGTTTAAAAACTTGAAGTATGAAATGAAATAATGTTGAACGAGCCTTGAGAAAATATGGTTGGTGTTAATTGAGGATGGTTAGAGCTTAAGACATTATATCAAAATGGCCAAAATAATGATGATTATCATTTCTTCCCAGCTAATTATTGGTTCCTGGAACATTCTGGGAAGGTTTTTTTCTGGATTAAAAAAAGAATGTTTTTCTTGAAATGTTATTTGGTTCCCAAAAATGAACATATGAGAACTCTAAAGGAACGGTTTGTGTTTGCTGAGTTAATAAATGCGTTGGTATTGTAATACACAATTCATCAGTGCTTCTTATTTTAAAGAAAATGTTTGTTTTTCGGCAGTTTTCTCCACTTCTGAGAAGACATTTCTGTTAACCTAACCAAGACCAATTGCCTAAATGTCCACAGAGAAACACTATTAACCAAACAAATCCCTTATTTCTGTCAGAATACCCTGTTTCGCATTTAGAAATGCATTGCAGATGCATGTCGTCCTTGGCATTCGCTTTTTGCCACCTTTAGCCTATTCCAAGTTGAAGTTCTCAATAACATAACTTAAGGGGAGCCGAGCTCCCCCTAGCTCCCCCGTAGTTCGCACCCTGTGTATACCACAATGCAACACGCTCAACTTGACTTTTTTTTTTTTTATTATGCATTTGAAAAAATCAGTCTGTAAAAAATATTTCTATATTGGTGCATCGCTATTGGTTTGCACAACATTTTGTGTGAGTGGCCTTTAACCGTTATCCAAGAGAGATTTTTGTGCACTCACCTTTTTAATGTAAGAGCAGCAAGGCAATTTGTAACTTGAATGTGCGAGGCTTCCGGTGTTTTTAGCTGTGCCTAAAATATATTCTTTGGTTATACATAAACATTCCGTTATGATTTGTTGTATTATTTTAATTTATTGAGACCTCAGGTCAGCTGGAGAGAAACTAAAGAGGACTGCACTGCTATCAAAAACCATTCTACTCATAGACTACACTGCGCTCTGGTGCACAGTACAGGTAAGTGCATCTCTACTGAAATTGTTTTCCGCCTAATACTATTACCTACTTGACTTGAATAAGATCGATCTGAAAATCTGTGTAATTTTAACACACTGCATTTCTGCAGTCACACATCAGATTAAAGGTGACCTGTTAACACCAATGTTTTAAAAATCGCTCTAATAATCTAAAGAATCATTTTTCCCCGATTGATGAATGATAAAAACACTGACAGCCAATCAGAATCCATCTGACTGTAAAGCGCGCGATAACCTTGTGAGAACTGGCTGTGCACCGTTTTGCTACGGTTTCCGGTTTGAACGACATGTTTGTTAGGAAGAAAAAAAGGGATTTTTGATGTCCAGTATTTTCCCGTTTAAACGTATGAAATAAAGAGGAGCGTCTCAAAATCGTCATCGGCGTTGACAAGGTGAAACCGTGCCGTTGTCAAGCTAATGTAGGCTACAGAACAAAACCATCAACATTCAACATATGAAAATGTAAAGAATGCATGTATTTCTAATGTCAGACATCGATAGAACATCACCAAAAACATACATGTATAAACTTTATTTAAATCTTAAAATATACCAATACATTAAACATGCATGAAATTATAATGTCAAAGCATCAAACATGTTTTATGAAACATGAAAAAGAGACACAAAAGACACAAAAACGGATGCTTACTGAAGAGTGACTAAGACATGTAACACCGAGACTGCAATTCATGGAAAATTACGCAAATCTTTGGAAACATTACAAAACATGCTATTAACAGAAAGAGTTTCGACAGGCGTTTAAATGCAGCTAGTTGAGGTTGTAACTTCCCCACACAGACGCCCCAAACCACTAACCACAGTCTTAAAAAGATCTAGGTACAACAATGTAAATAACCACCATACACATTTTGCTAGTTTGTGTAATTGGTACGTCTGACCAGTACTTCCTATTCAACTACAGATAGGGAGAAATGTCATGTGACTTGACACATTTAATTCACTATTATAAACATTATTGTAAACTGATTCAAAGCTGCATTATCTGCAATATATTTACACTTAACTGGAGTCCAGCATAATTTTCAATCTATTTGACGGGTCCTGGATCATTTGACTGTGCTGTAAATCACTGATTTACCCACCATCGCATCGAATCTGTGAAACAGCATAATCAAATTTAAAGTCAAGTCAAGTCACCTTTATTTATATAGCGCTTTTAACAATACAGATTGTGTCAAAGCAACTTTACAGAAAATAGTGTGTCAATAATTCAAAATGATAATAGTAAACACCAGGGGTGTGAAGTAACGAATTACAAATACTCACGTTACATTAATTAAGTAGTTTTTATCCGTAATTGTACTTTTTTGAGTAGTTTATGTTGCTGCTGATTGGGCTGACATTTTTGACACACCCACCAAACAAGAGAAAACGTATCTCAAACCCCGTTGCACACCGTTTCCAGGAAACATGTCGCTCAAACCGGAAACCGTAGCAAAACGTCGCGCACCGGTTTGAGCTTGAACTTGCCCCTGGCTTTTACTCTGCACATGCGCAGTAGTGTTTTCTCTGCCTCAGAAAAGGCGCACGATCACACCACGTTGTTAGGAAGAAAAAAAGGGATTTTTGATGTCCAGTATTTTCCCGTTTAAACGTATGAAATAAAGAGGAGCGTCTCAAAATCGTCATCGGCGTTGACAAGGTGAAACCGTGCCGTTGTCAAGCTAATGTAGGCTACAGAACAAAACCATCAACATTCAACATATGAAAATGTAAAGAATGCATGTATTTCTAATGTCAGACATCGATAGAACATCACCAAAAACATACATGTATAAACTTTATTTAAATCTTAAAATATACCAATACATTAAACATGCATGAAATTATAATGTCAAAGCATCAAACATGTTTTATGAAACATGAAAAAGAGACACAAAAGACACAAAAACGGATGCTTACTGAAGAGTGACTAAGACACGTAACACCGAGACTGCAATTCATGGAAAATTACGCAAATCTTTGGAAACATTACAAAACATGCTATTAACAGAAAGAGTTTCGACAGGCGTTTAAATGCAGCTAGTTGAGGTTGTAACTTCCCCACACAGACGCCCCAAACCACTAACCACAGTCTTAAAAAGATCTAGGTACAACAATGTAAATAACCACCATACACATTTTGCTAGTTTGTGTAATTGGTACGTCTGACCAGTACTTCCTATTCAACTACAGATAGGGAGAAATGTCATGTGACTTGACACATTTAATTCACTATTATAAACATTATTGTAAACTGATTCAAAGCTGCATTATCTGCAATATATTTACACTTAACTGGAGTCCAGCATAATTTTCAATCTATTTGACGGGTCCTGGATCATTTGACTGTGCTGTAAATCACTGATTTACCCACCATCGCATCGAATCTGTGAAACAGCATAATCAAAGACAGTAACAGCGTCTGATCTCTGAGATCCATGTTGATTGTGAGCCTCACAGTAGAAGCGTCCACTCTGTAGTGCACTGAAACTCTGTCCAGATCCAACAGCTGAGCTTTGATTCTCCTTAAACCAGCTGATTTCTGCAGGAGGGTTTGAGTCACTGCTGCAGCTCAGAGTCACTGAATATTCTTTTTCACCAGATGGACTGATGGACACTGAGACATTCTTTGGAGAGTCTAAAAATGAAAAAAGAAAAAAAAAGATCAATAAACCATAAATTTGAGACTTCAGTATGTTTAGAAAACATAGTGTCGTCATCATCATCATCATCATCAACAACTTAGGAAACAAAATTATTTCACAATATTGCATTTTGGTTGCTGTTAGGTTACACAGTGGAAACTAATGATAAAAACTTAAGTTACGTATATGTTTGATAGAAGCTTAAGCTTTATGTTTGTATTATCCCATGGCCTACACCTGACAAACAATGAAAAAAGTTACCACTGTGCCAGCTACAACATTCTGTACATGCAAATTTGTCTCAATTAAGCAACCAAAACTTATAATTATTATACCTGGTAATACAAAGAATATCTTAATACACAGAACAAGGAAATTGGAAGAAGGCTGGGTTTAACCTCAACAATATGTTTTCAGAGTTGTCTTTTAAAAACCGAACTCTATACATGTGATGTGATACTGACATCAAACTGAAACTGAAATGTAATTTGTTTCATGAAAATCTGTTGGTCCGTTACATGTGCACAACTCTACGTGTGCATGCAGCAATTCGCTCTGACTTGTCCACTGTTTTGAGAAATCAAGATTGATCCCAAAAAAAAACTGCTCATAGAAAATTATGTAATTTCTTCTTTGAGTTGAATTTCTCCCGTGTTGAATATTCTGTTGTGTTCCGTTTGTCGCAATAACAATGCAAGTTCTCACGTTAACATCTGACAACATTTTTCACTCTTGTTTTCCTGTCAGGAGATTCTCACTTTAGGATGTGGAAATAATGTTTATAAAATTTCACAGGTGATGAGCTAAATATGAAATAATATTTTCATTTCAGATTTATAGTCAACAAACTTTTTAACTTATGACCAAATACTCACACATGACATTGAGATGAACAGCAGGAGAGATGTAAAGACGAATCATGAGAAACCGTAAGAATGATGTAAACATTTCATAGGAATGTATGCAATGTGATTAATAGAACCAATTATTTGCAATAAAGCAAGCATGAACCTGCACCTCTAAACCTGACCCTCAGCAGGGCATGAGCAGATCATATAAAAATGTATGAATTAGTTGCTACAAATTGTTTCGAGACTGTGTTGGATTACAGATATTTAGAGAATGTCTTGTCAAAATGAATAAACCATTAACTCACACATGACGTTTAAAGTCGCAGCATCAGAGTCTTTCTCTCCATGTTTATTTCTGGACTTGCACTTGTATTCTCCACTGTAATCAGAACTGATCTTTGAGATGCTGTAGATTCTTCCAGATCCTAGAAACGTTCCTTCTTTAAACCAGCTGATTTCTGCAGGTGGGTTTGAATCACTGCTGCAGCTCAGAGTCACTGAATCTCCCTCCACTATTTCACCAGATCCAGTTATGGACACCACTACATTTCTTGGAGCATCTAAAATAGAAAGAATTAAACATCTCATCAACAGTGATAAAACAAACTGGAACTAATGGATCTATTGTCAGTCCTTGCATCATCATTCACTTACACATCACACTCAGCATCACAGCATCAGAGTCTTTCTCTCCATGTTTATTTCTGGACTTGCACTTGTATTCTCCACTGTAATCAGAACTGATCTTTGAGATGTTGTAGATTCTTCCAGATCCTAGAAACGTTCCTTCTTTAAACCAGCTGATTTCTGCAGGTGGGTTTGAATCACTGCTGCAGCTCAGAGTCACTGAATCTCCTTCCACTATTTCACCAGATGGACTGATGGACACTGAGGTGTTCTTTGGAGGATCTAACACAGAAAAACATTGACGTCATTAAGTATTACAATAGATTTAACATCATAGAGTATGTTTAGAGGATTTAAAGTCACAGTTACTGAACCATCATTAACTCACACGTAATGTTTAAAGTCACAGCATCAGAGTGTTTCTCTCCATGTTTATTTCTGGACTTGCACTTGTATTCTCCACTGTAATTGCAGCTCAGAGTCACTGAATCTCCCTCCACTATTTCACCAGATGGACTGATGGACACTGAGACGCTCTTTGGTGGGTCTAAAAAAGACAAAAGTTTTTTTTTTTTCCCCCAGACATAAACTCAACAATTAATATACTGATGAATCTGTACTCACACATGACACTGAGATAAACAGCAGGAGAGATGTAAGTGTGTCCGTGTAGAGCACAGCTGTATCTGCCTGCATCCTCTCTTCTGACTGACTGCAGCAGGAGTTGATTGTTTCTGTCTCTTCTCTCAGTTAATGGCTGTGAGTTTCTGTACCAGATGAATGTTGCTCTGTCAGTCAGAGCGCAGCTGCTTTTACATGTCAGACGCACTGAATCTCCCTCTGTCACTCTCTCAGGAGCCTCCACCTGAAGATCTGAACACAACACACACATTATATCTAGTGCTGCTGTCATACACTGATTATTATTCAACATAATGCACAGAAGAAGAGTGAAACCTCATGAAAGTCACCTGTGACAGTAAGAGTCACTCCTGAAGCACCAGTCTGTTTCTTGCTATGTTTATCAGTGATGAATCTGAAATAGTACTTGTGTGAATCTTTCTGTGTCACATGACTCAGTCTGATGGTGCAGTTCTTCTGTTTATCTCCCAGATACTGAAGCCTGTGACTGTATTCAGGGTCCTTAGACAGATCTGGAAACACTTCATGTTCCTCTTCTTCTTCACTTGAATCTTTCTTTTTACCTTTAAAAAGTTTTTTGGTCCAGAACACTTTCATGATCTGATATCCAGTAGGGTATGTATAAGTGCAGTTCATTATCACTGATGAGTCCTTTAGTGCACAGATGTGTGAAGGACTGTAATTCACAGCCCAACCAGCACTAGAAACCCCTGAAACACAGAATTCATAAGAAGAAAAGATTAGCAGCAGTTACTAACTGAATGTATTTGCTCAAGATCTTTGAATGTCTTTTGGTTGTTGAGTTGCGGTGTTGCCAATCTGCGGTTTTCCCATGGAACTACTTTATCACTGTTGCTGCGGGTTGTTTTTCATGTCCGCAGGTTGACGCGACCCCAATAAATTGATATTTAGCCCCTAAAATGTGAATTTTACTAGGGGAATCCCGCCAAAAAATGTGTATTTTACTCCCCAGAAAGCGATTTTTACTGGGGGACCCCCCTCGAAACACGATTGGGCTAGTTTTGAGTAGCAATTGGGCGGGTTTTGTTGTGAAAACCTGGCAGCCTTGTTGAGTAGAGGGTGTTGAAGAAAAGCAGCATTGAACAGCTGAGCCAGAACAGTGAAAACGGAAGTGAAAATACTGGCACTGTCTAGATTAAAATATTAATCAGATACAACCAATATCATACATCAGTATTTTCTGAGAAAAAACACATAACGAAGATAAGTTTGCCATTACATTTGCATTAGAAATGAGATACTGAGTAAAGCATTGGACAGACATTACAAAGACAGACTTCATGCTTGTACTGCTCCTATAGGAGAATAATTTGGTTTGTACTTAATTTTTGGAATCTGATTACATAATCCAGATTACATGTAATCAGTTACTACCCAGTTCCTTTCTATGCATAATTGAAAGTACAACACAGCCAAAATCCCATTTTGTGCAGATCCGATTCAAATCTGATCTAGATGACTGACTGTCCACACTGTGTATGGCAACTGCTCAAATCCGCTCTTTTGTTTTACTGAATATCTGCATTGCTTTCTAACAACAATACAATTTGCATTACAGATGTTGTCTTACAACATGACAACATGTTGCCTTTACGCTGGATTATATTTCGTCTTGAGATAAAGGGGTGGGACAAGTGATATTTCAGGTGGGCTGGGGGTATGTGTGTGGGGTTGTTTTTTTTTTCTTATATTCTTTTAATGTTCTATTCTTTTTCTGTTATATTTTGCAAACTATTTTCTATTCTAAGAAAGCAACACCGAACACTCAACACGGAAAACAAAAGCATGCACTGCACTCTAAGGAGTATTCAAGCCATGTTCTTTTGGCCTATTAGAGGGGAACAGGTGGGTTTACCTTTGCTGAGAAGTGGGCGGTCAAAAAATATAGTGTGGGGCACATAGCCACAATTTGGCACATAACAAGAATAATGAAGTTACATTAACACTAGGCTTACTGCACTAGTTGGTGTTACACAGTGTTTGGTCATACACCGATTACATTACCAGACCACCACCCCCACTGTCATTTTGCATTTTTATAGAAATAAAAATCATTTAGTGCAGTTGGAAAACATACGGTACAATTCTAAACTGAAAGCATCTGCTCTACAGCAGGGTTGCCAGGTCTGCATGACAAAACAAGCCCAATGTCCAGTCAAAAACAGCCCAAAGTAGTGCAATGACCATATCCCAAATATCAAAACTCTTATATGTCATTTCCATACCTAAAATACATATTTTACAGTCACTGTTGTGCAGATTGATCATAAACACAGCTCAAAGGCTTCCTACCAGTGGCCCTCCTTCACAAAAGTTCACATTCAGCACAGTTTTATCATGCGTAGAACACAAACTATTTCACTACAAGCATTCCAGTGAAATTTAATTGATGCAATATTTCAAAACTTTAACCCACAAGGGGAAAAAAATCAACCCAATGGTAACAGTTTAAAACCAGTCAAAAAACCCCCCAAAAAACTTGGCAACCCTGCTTCCAACACGATTATCCACCTTATTTTTCCTATAAGAGCGGGAATTTGTACATTTTATGGGTCTGGCTTCCGGTCTCATTCATGTCCAGCTATTTTTAGCTGTACAAAACACCTCGTTTTGCTGCTAGAGATTGCAAATTGGTGTGTCTTACCTTAATGCATGATATTATGAACACACTGGTTTGTAGTGCAAACAGTTTTACCGTTTACTGCACGTTGTTATTCTTCTCGCTATTTCCTTTACAACGGCTAATGAACCGGAAGTCTCGCCCATAGGCTTACAATTGAATATCGCACCAATTTTGTGACAGGCCTGCTACAAAAAACAAAAAAACATCTGACGTGTTTATGTTTTACGTGGCCTGAGAACGTGAAAAAGATACGCTAAATCCAATTTGAGTGGTCAGACTGAAACGGATTTCCAGAAATGCGATTTGAACAGGATTTAAAAACCACATATAAATGTAGCTTGAAACGGATTTGTAAAAATTTAATTTCATGTGATTTTTGTTGTTCACACAGGCTAAATATGAGGATTACAATCGGATATGCACAAAAATCCGAAAGTCTGAACAAGCCTGTTGAGAAGCATCAGAAACTCACTGTGGATCATGAGAGAAAAGATGAGAGGAAGAAGAAGAGCCATTCTGACTGACATCACCATAGCAACACCTGCAACACAGAAATTCAAATATGCTTGAGATTTACAAGAAAAATATATTTCAGTCTTTCTACCTCAAAATTGTAATTATTTGTGAAATTTACTAGCAATTTCTGAGTGAAAACAGTTTCAAAAGACACATTTTTTGTTAGTGTAGAAGCATTGAAAATGTATAAACAAACAAACAAACAAACAAAACATGATAAGAAACTGGTCATACCGTAGCGCAGGACAACTCATCAGCTGAAACCAAATGACACATGAAGAGAAAGGAGGAAGGTTTAGCAGCCTCATTTATAACCAGAACGCCGTCATTTCCAACTCATTTCCCCTTTCCTCTCTCTTTTTAACCTCTGATTATTGACGTAAAAGTATTACATAAAAAAAGAAAATCTTTCTTTTAGATTTGCCAAAATAAAAAACAAAACAAAAAAAAAACATTCTGTTTATTTCCTGGTCTATTTTGCAGATTTTCAGATCATGAATACTTTGTTGTAAATGAAAGCCAGGAATAAACACATACATATTGCGTGTAAGCTGGACTACTCACACCAGAGGTGGGACTTTCAAGTCACAAGCAAGTCTCAAGTCAAATCCCAAGTCCTCAAAGAGTTATAGTAATGAGATAATTAAGTGACTAATTAAATGATGATTGTGCATTAGTGATGAACACATCAAGGGTTCAATTGCTTCGCAGCTTTGAAAAGGTTTGTGTCTCCCATCACTACAATAATGTAAAATTACCACACCACCCATATAATCAGAGATTGGGCTCAGAATGATGTAAGGTATAACCACAAGGTTTATGTTACCAAACCATGACCAGCAGCTTAACATATACTCGCTGTGTTTTCTATGCCATAACAAATGTGCTTTATAAACATACAGTTAAACAGAAAGAAAGAATTTTTTTTTTAAAGAGTCAAGGGCCGAAATAAAGTAAACACTGACCACCCTCATGGTGACTTAAAAATGTTGACTCTTTCCTTCAGTGATTCTGCTTGTTAACATCAGGTGTCTTCACTAATGATCAATCATTGTTCAATTAATCCCTTAATTATCTCATTACCTTGAGTTTTTGCTGTGTATACATCTGCTGACGTATGAGGGCCCATGTAGAGCTATTATTTATAGATACTGTGGCAATCCATTAATAGGCAAAATGCAACAGTGACTGTGTTGGTGTTTCCTGATGCACATACGCACGTCTGATGAGCAAATCTCCAGTGTTACGTAACAGCCACAACGTTATGTTAAGTCATAAAACACATTTTTAGGTTGCCATTTATTCAGTGCATTTACGTGTCCATATCAACCACCAGAAGCTATAGTGAGACATCTAGTCACTCACACTAAACATAAGAGTACCAACCAACGCCAGTGTTATTTATAAGCCTGAATGACGGAAATGGACCTTAAAGGTTTGAAATAATAATTAATTCCAAGTAACATTGGAAAAACTTAGTCATCTGCATCATTCAAACAAAAATACTTCTACAAGGATCTGTGCGATTTGAAAGGCATCCTTATTGACACAATCAGGTCAAATAGGACAATATACTGCATATATCGCAACGTGTATCCTAAGATAAATTTGGATATTGTACTCACAGTAGGCAGGTCATGAAAATGATGAAATTATGAACATTTCTGCCTTGACAAGTTGTTGTCAGAAGTGTCTCTAGACAAAACACGCCAAATTTCATACAAATTGGATGAGGAGTTTATTCTTTTTGAGGGTTTACCAACAATAACGTAGATTAAAATAACATAGTCATTATGTTTCCAAAAATCAGAGGTGTAAAGTCCAGGGGTCAGAAAGTAAAAGTCCTGCCATATGTTTATTCAGTTTATTCAGCTGATTTCAGATTTTACCAACATTTTGTCAGGAGGGTCTCTAGATTTCATACAAATTGGACGAAGAATTCAGGATTTCAGCAACATCCTGATCTCCTGATCAGAGGACCAGTGAGAGAAAATGCTCTTTGCAAAAACAAGGAATAAACCAGCTCTTAGGTAAAACTAAAAAGAAGAAATGAAAATCCAGCATCAGACAAGCAGTGCCACAGTCCCACCACACGAGGTCGATGTCAACACGGAGATCAGTTTTCCCAGGAACAGTAATTTCACCAAACTGATCAGTTGATCATTTGACTGCACTGTAAATCACTGATTGATCCTCCACCATCTGATCAGTACATCTGTGAAATGAATATATACAGAGATATCACTGCATCAATGACCTTTACAGATGCCAATTAATACAACCTCAACCAATGCAGGAACGGCATTCAAGAGCGCTCAACAGTGTTCTGATTCAATCTTAATATGATTTATTATGTTATGAACATGCCATGATGTTTCTCACCTCCTTGCAGCATCAGTCTGGTATTTTCTAATGTTGTCGTACTGGCTTTCCTTCTCTTCCGGTTGGTTCATCTCTTCGTTTCTATGATGCAGGACAGTTACATACTGGATCTCTTCTGTATCTTCAGAATCAGATGCGTTTCCTTCAGTCTGATTGTGACTGAAATTGCTGAGAGTAATTAAGGAATACAAGGCATTGTTTTGATTCGCGGCATCAGATTCAGACAGAGACCCATCGTGAGCTGATACGTTGACATAAAGGTCATCCTAAAATGAGAGAAAATGACTTGTTACACTGTATTTACGGCAAAAATAATTAATACCTTTGTGTTATAACTTTTGCTTAATGCTCGTTTGATAATTTGATTTACCTGCTTTTGTGCGATGTGATTAGGTCTCTGTTTTTTCCTCCTGTAATAAAGAATCATCTAAAATGCATTTAGGAAATAAGCTTGGTATACTAATGTGTTTCCTGACAGACAGCATGAACTTACATGAGCAACACAATGATGAATATGAAGATTAAACCTCCCAATCCTCCAGTGACTCCAGCAACTGCATACCGAAACTTCCTTCCTACAACAGGACAAGTAACAAGACAATGCTTTTATGTTTAATATGAGAAAATAAAACCATGATTCATAGTGTACAGCTGCAATTTCAACACAATCGCATTTATCTTCATAGTAAAAGATTTCATGACTGGTGCCCCCTTTGTCACATTTGAATGGATTGTTATTGCTGCTTCCATAAACATCTGTGTGTATTTTACAAACACGTACGTCTACAAGATGTCTGTTAAAGATCTCTTGATCTGGAAAGCATCTGCTGTGTACAAACATCTGACAGACGTCTGTAAGATGTCAGTTTTACATACATTCTAAATCATAAACTTCTTAAAGACATCTAATAAACATCTATTTGACAGCTGATAGGAAACACCCAGATGAGCAAACACTCTAAAAAATACATCTTGCAGATGTAAATGCAGACGTCAAATAGACGTCTCCGAGATGTACATGTGCTATCAGGGAGCACTTGTGTGTATTCAAATGTCTGAAACCAAAAATAAACAATATGTGGTTGAAAACACTGCATAGTTGTGATTATATGAGAAGCACAGAGCACGCGTCCATCTCTGGCTTAGTGTCAGCCAAAGCTCGAAAGCAAAGTTTGAATTTGGCAGTTATGTGACGTCATTGACCATTCTGAATCTCATATGTACGACCGTACCTCCAGGGGCACAGATATAAAAATCAAATCATACCGCTCAAAAGGTTAATACAATGTGGAAATTAAAGCAGACTAAATGCATTATAATTGTGTCCTAAAGTGACTGTTCCAACTCCAAACTAGCTCATCAGTAGCAGATAAATATTTGTCCAGTCGCAGAATGACTCAGTGATACACACCATGTACAGTGACAGCAACAGCGGGTTTGAATCACTGCTGCAGATCAGAGTCACTGAATCTCCCTCCATTATTTCACCAGATCCATTTATGGACACTGAAATTGTTTTTGGAGGGTCTAAAACATAGATGTCATTATCAATAATGATACATTTGAGGTGACAGAGGATTAAATATCACAGTTACTGAACCATCATTAACTCACACATGACGTTTAAAGTCACAGCATCAGAGTCTTTCTCTCCATGTTTATTTCTGGACTTGCACTTGTATTCTCCACTGTAATCAGAACTGATGTTTGAGATGCTGTAGATTCTTCCAGATCCTACAAATGTTCCTTCTTTAAACCAGCTGATTTCTGCAGGTGGGTTTGAATCACTGCTGCAGATCAGAGTCACTGAATCTCCTTCCACTATTTCAGGAGATCCATTTATGAACACTGAGACGCTCTTTGGATGATCTAAAAAGAACAAAAATGAAATGTCACAATAAATATTAGAAAATTATGAATTTTGGAAATTTGAACAGTGTACAAATGGTCATTAACGCACACATGACATTTAAAGTCACAGCATCAGAGTATTTCTCTCCGCGTTTATTGATGGACTTGCACTTGTATTCTCCACTGTGATCAGAGCTGATCTTTGAGATGCTGTAGATTCTTCCAGATCCTACAAACTTTCCTCTTTTAAACCAGCTGATTTCTGCAGGTGGGTTTGAATCACTGCTGCAGCTCAGAGTCACTGAATCTCCCTCCACTATTTCACCAGATGGATTCACTGCTACAAAAGATTCCTTTGGAGGATCTAGAGGTCAAATATAAATGAAAATAATATTAGTAAGTATGTAAGTAAAATTTATTTATATAGCACCTTTCCCAGACAAGGGGTCACAAAGCGCTTTACAATAAAATTAAAATCAAAACAAGTTAAATACCAGCTGTACAAATACCGCCAAATATCACAAAAAATTGCTTCCAGACCATATTGTTAGTTAAAAGCTTGTCCAAAAAGATATGTCTTTAGGTGTTTTTTAAAAGATTCTAAAGAAACTCATAGTGCAATGATAAGGGTAGAGAGGTCCAAAGCCTTGGAGCCACGACACAGAAAGCACAGTCACCCCTTGTCTTAAGACGTGTTCTGAGAATAGTTAAAAGGTCTAGGTCAGAAGACCTCAAAGTCCGGCCAGGGGAGTGTGCATGTAATAGATCCTGGATATAAGAGGGTGCCTGACCATGCAGGGCTCCATAAGTAATGACCACAATTTTAAAATGTACTCTAAAACCAATGGGAAGCCAATGCAGGGCCTTAAGCACGGGAGTAATGTGCGACCTCCTGCTGGTCCTAGTCAAAAGCCTTGCAGCCGCATTCTGTACAACTTGTAATAGATCCATAGAAGATTTGTTCAAACAAGTGTAGAGAACATTGCAATAGTCTAACCGTGTAGAGATAAATGCATGAAAAAGCATCTCCATCTCTTTTTTTGAAACCATAGATCTAATCTTAGCAATGTTCCTAAGATGGAAAAAACATGAACGAACTACAGATTTTACATGACTGTTCAAACACATAGACCTGTCAAAAATGACACCCAGATTTTTTATGTCACTGCTATCAGAGGATGATAAACCCCCAATAGCCTGCCTAATCTTAGAAGTAATGTTGTCAGGGGCAATAATCATCACCTTAGTTTTATCATTATTTAGTTGCAGAAAATTGTCTGACATCCATTTATTAATGGAGGCCAAACTATTCTGCAGAAGGGACAGTTTGTCTAGTCTATCAGGACTAAAAGAAATATATAATTGGATGTCATCGGCATAACAATGATAAGATATTTTAAAACTGCTAATAATCTTGCCAAGAGGAAGCATATACAGACTAAACAGCAGAGGGCCAAGCACAGAACCTTGTGGCACACCACAGGACAGAGGAACAATGTCTGACATGTAAGTTCCTATGGACACAGAAAAACTCCTATCAGAAAGATAGGAGGATAACCAATCCAGAGCTAATCCAGAAATGCCAACTAGAGAATGCAGTCTATTAATCAAAGTGCAGTGATCAACAGTATCAAACGCTGCGTTAAGGTCTAACAAGACCAGCACAGAGCATTCACCAGCATCAGCAGCCATCAAAATGTCATTTGAGACCCTAAGGAGGGCAGTTTCAGTCGAATGGTTTTTACCAAAGCCAGACTGAAATTTATCACAGATATTATGAGCCTCCAAAACCGTATTTAACTGCATTGCCAATACCCTTTCTAAGATTTTAGAGAAGAAAGGCAATTTAGAAATAGGCCTGTAGTTATTAAATTATGTTACATCAAGTCTACTCTTTTTCAAGAGAGGCTCAACAACATCATGTTTAAAACACCTAGTGACCTGGCCCAGCCTAAGAGATAGATGTAATAGGGCCAATAGATGTAATAGATTTCATAAACAGAGACGTAGGCAAAATATCCACAGGGTTTTGAGAAACAATATTGTTAACAGTTTCAAACAAAGTTTTAGGATTCATTTTGCAGGCAGATATCAGTTTCATAAAATAAGATGCTCTAGCATCCTTGATCATCTCATTTAGATCTGACAAGATCTCTTTAAGATGCAGGTGGTGGACTTCAGGGGTGGAAAGCTGAGTCGCTTTCCATAGCTTTCCTGAAATTTTTTTTCAGTCTTTCAACAAACACGTCTAAAGCTCCATTTATCCACAAGGGGGTGTTAAAATGGGGGGTTTGTCAAGTTTTTAAATGAGCCACTCTGTCCAGTAGCAGGGTGCAATGTTCATTAAATTACTGTAAAGTAGCATCAATGTCATTTGAGATAATAACCGAGCTTGAGTCAAAGGCGGCTGAGAAATTCTCAACAGCATGCTGGTTAATCATGCGAGAGCAGGATGCTCGCTTAACAGGCAGAGGATCCTCATTAAAAGCAAGATCAAATAAAATGCATTTGTGATCACTATATCCATCTTCAGTACATATAGTGCCAAATGTTTAGACCGTGAGAGAAAACTAGATCGAGCGTATGACCCTTACTGTGCTTAGGACCAGAGACATGTTGAATACATTTAAAAGATTCCATAATATTAAAAAATTCAGAAGCAACATTACAAGCCTAGAATATAAAATCAACTGCGGGTGGCAGATCCTTTTCCAATTTAGCGCCCAAACTCTGAAATAACCTACCTAACATCACCTGGTGTACTTGCTACATTGTTAGAAGAATGGCATCTACGCTAATATTAGTCTGTTTCTCTCTTATTCCGAGGTCACCGTTGCCACCAGATCCAGTCTGTATCCAGATCAGATGGTCACTGCAGTCACCCGGATCCAGTACATATTCAGACCAGATGGTGGATCAGCACCTAGAGAGGACCTCTACAGCCCTGAAAGACAGCGGAGACCAGGACAACTAGATGAGCCCCAGAGACAGATCCCCAATGAAGACCTTGTCTCCTAGACTGCCACCGGGACAAGACCACAGGAACCAGATGATTCCTCTTCACAATGTGACTTTGCTGCAGCCTGGAATTGAACTGCTGGTTTCGTCTGGCCAGAGGAGAACTGGCCCCCCGACTGAGTCTGGTTTCTCCCAAGGTTTTTTCTCCATTCTGTCACCGATGGAGTTTTGGTTCCTTGCCGCTGTCGCCTCTGGCTTGCTTAGTTGAGGACACTTATTTTCCAGCGATATCGTCAACTTGATCGCACAGATACTATTGAAACTGAACCGAGCTGGATGATGACATCACTGAATTCAATGATGAACTGCCTTTTTGCATTATTGACACACTATTTTCATATTTAATGCTGTACAGTTGCTTTGACAATCTGTATTGTTAAAAGCGCTATATAAATAAAGGTGACTTGACTTAACGCCCAAACTCTGAAATAACCTACCTAACATTGTTCGGGAGACAGAAACAATCTGTCAGTTTAAAACTAGCACAGATACTATTGAAACTGAACCGAGCTGGATGATGACATCACTGAATTCAATGATGAACTGCCTTTTTGCATTATTGACACACTATTTTCATATTTAATGCTGTACAGTTGCTTTGACAATCTGTATTGTTAAAAGCGCTATATAAATAAAGGTGACTTGACTTAACTTGACAAGCATCATCATCCATGTGAACATTAAAATCACCGACAATAATCACTCTGTCCAATTTAATAATGGACGATAAAAAGTAAATAAATTCTCTCGGAAAAGAGGCAGCTGGCCCAGGTGGCCGATAAACTAAAAAACAATAAAATGAGTTTGAACGACCAACCTTAGTCATCTGTAGTTCAAATGAAGAGTACGTACCACCAGTAGTCATAGACTGGCAATAAAATGCTTTTTAAAAACCACAGCAAGTCCTCCACTGCGGCCTGTGAGTCTAGGCGTGCTGATAAAAGAACAATCCACAGGGCAGACCTCGATCAGATGACAGTACTCCATACTCCTTTGCCATGTCTCCGTCAGCAACATAAAATCCAGGTTTTTGGAAGTGAATAATTCACTGAGCAGAAATGACTTGTTTGAAATTGAACGGGCGTTAATCAAAGCCATCTTGAGCGGTGCCGAAACAACACCTGACGCAGAGGCCAAGGCTCGCGGCAGCGACCTCAGGTGCACAGCGCACACACCGCAACCAGATGTAAGTTTGAGGGACCAAAACCATAGGGGCGTCTGGGAAGACAGAATGAAGATACAATGGTCTGGAGCCATCATAAAAAAGTCCCAACTTCAGGAGTCTTTAAAATGCACCTGTCGCCCTGCCCTTTTTCCTCTCCTTCTCCGCAGCTTCTTTGTGCGTCCCATTATGCCTACTCCATAGCGAGTAAACGGTGCAGAAAGACATATAAACGGGGCAGAAAATGCACCCGGACCACTCCAGGTACATACCCCACCACACTCCTCCATAGAGGATCGAATCAGAAGCATCGTTTGGCGATCATACACCCATGCAGTAGACACGACATTTGTGGACAAACTTAACAGCAATATAGCGCAGAAAACAAACAAAATGAGTCAGGGTGAACATCCAGCCACAGCGGCAAAGCCAAATACTGGCGCCATGCCAAAACCGGAAGAGGATTGTCCTATTACTAAAACCTTTTTGCATTTCTAATTCAATTCTGTTGTTGAAACTTTGGTAACACTTTATTTTGATGGTCCCTTTTGAGCACTCTTTTGACAATAAGTAACTTTGCACCTACATGTCAACAAACTGTCATTAGAGTATTAGTAGACTGTCTGATTAATATCTGCTAGCTCTTTATTGTGATGGTCTCCCAACAGACATTCTACTGACTATAAGTAACTTTGCAAGTACATGTCAACTTATTCTAACCCTAACCCTACCAGTCTACTAATACTCTAATGAGAGTTAGTAGATATGTAGGTGCAATGTTACTTATAGTCAACAGAATGTGTTAAAGGGGCCATCAAAATTAAGTAAAACCGAAACTTTTATATAATCTGACTTCTCTGTTGTATGATATTTGAACAAATTTACTCAGGTGGCCAAAAAATATGATTGAATCTGTACTCACACATGACATTGAGATGAACAGCAGGAGAGATGTAAGTGTGTTCATGTAGAGCACAGCTGTATCTGCCTGCATCCTCTCTTCTGACTGACTGCAGCAGGAGCCTTCACCTGAAGATCTGAACACAACACACACATTATATCTAGTGCTGCTGTCATACACTGATTATTACTCAACATAATGCACAGAAGAATAGTGAAACCTCAGGAAAGTCACCTGTGACGGTAAGAGTCACTCCTGGATGACCAAGCCATTTATTATCAGGTGTATAAGTTGTGAATCTGAAATAGTACATGTGTTCATCTTTCTGTGTCACATGACTCAGTCTGATGGTGCAGTTCTGCTGTTCATCTCCCAGATACTGAAGCCTCTGACTGTATTCAGGGTCCTTAGACAGATCTGGAGGCTCTTTACCCTGTACAGGGTTTTTGGTCCAGAACACTTTCATGATCTGATATCCAGTAGGGTATTTATAAGTGCAGTTCATTATCACTGATGAGTTCTTTAGTGCACAGATGTGTGGATGACTGTAACTCACACCCCAACCATTGGTCCAGAACACTTTCATGATCTGATATCCAGTAGGGTATGTATAAGTGCAGCTCATTATCACTGATGAGTTCTTTAGTGCACAGATGTGTGGATGACTGTAACTCACAGCCCAATAACCACTGAAAGCATCTGAAATGACCCCCCCCCATTATTATTCAAATTAACAGCATCTGTAGAGCTGGAGGATGTTGAAAAGCAGAAATAGTTCTGACTCACTGTGAATCATGAGTAGAAAGATCAGAAGAAGAGGAGGAGCTATTCTGATTGACATCATTATAGCAACACCTGCAACACAATCAATGTACCGTGCCTTATTTTAGCTTCTGTGAAGGTGAATGTCATGAAATCCATCAAGAACAAGATCAGGCCATTGTGAGATTTTTGTCATTAGAGTAAAGTAAGGACCCTAAATATAAAAGTTTTTTTTCTTTTTGGTGTTGTTTTTTATATCTATATTTACATTTACATGTAATAATTTGGCAGACGCTTTTAACTTAGGTTGTAAGTTAAAAGCATCTTTATTAGGGAAAAAGAAGCAATCAAAAAAAAAAAAAAACAAACAAACAAAAAGCAGCAATATATGTTGTGACAAGTCCCAGTTAGTCTAACACCAAACATGTAGCAAGCAAACTGAGAAATTCTCTTACCGTTTTTCAGGGATGAAGCGATACAGTAAGAACAGAAGTTTACAATCATTAGATGATTTCTCTTGAAGATGAATGCTTTATCTTCCTCTTATCAAGTACATTTTACTCTCAGACTCTGCTTAAAAACCAGCTTTGTTTAAATCCATTCAAATAGTATTTTGATAATGCAATATATATATAGATATCTCCTCATAAGAAGGACAGGGCAAATGAAGCAGCATCCGCCAGTGCATGCAAATTAGTGAGACAGAGGGGAAAAAAAGAGAAGTGAAAAGAGAACAATATGCAAAGTTTTTCACATTTTCAAAGCCACTTTCAGATGCAGTGGAGTTTTTCATCTATCAGACAGGATTGTCCACAGTTCCTTCACAGCGAACAAATGCAATCGTGGGATCTTTTATTTCTTTTCTTCTTGGAGTTAATTTAGTGAGTTTTGTTGGAGCTTTTAAGATCATAAAATTATGTTTTACACTAAGTTTCTCTTCCTCTTTTGTGTGTTGATAAGAGGCCTGTGAACTACATTAAACCTTTATGCAAATCCTGAACCGACAGACTCTCTCAAAGCTTCAAGGGGACTCAGTACCACTCAGATACTATCTATCTATCTATCTATCTATCTATCCATTGAGGGTCTGATTGTGTTATGATGTGCACCAGCAGTCCAGTGCTGTATACACATTCTCATCAAATGAAGAAATGTCTGTCAATAACTAGAGAAGTGCAAAGAAGGTTCACCAGCAGTTGTTGCAAAGACGTAGAAGAATAAAAACAACGATTCACAAAACTTATAGCATTAAAATTGGACATGCTTGCAAACTACTGAACTTAAACAAACAAACAAATAAATCCAATAGTTCGATTTTATTTTATTTTTTTAATACACAGTTATTATAGTAAATTATTCACCACTGCAATCATCTGTTCTGGCGATTTTTATTTGTCAATTATTCATTTACAGAATATTGATGAATGAATCAACAAATCAATCTGGCTAAAGTTTGATTTCTCAGTTAAAGTATTTATTTAACATCATTGAACATCACAAGTATTCATGATAAGAGTAACAATATTTGCCAACAGTATTTGCAGTTTTCAGATCTACAGTGAAATACAGAACAACAGTTCTTTCTGGTCCTCGAACTTGACTGGCTGATAAGTGTGCAATATTAGAGTGATATCAGAACTCCAACAGCCGTTTCACAGTTTGTAATCGTATCACTCCGCCTGCGGTACTTCTTACAGTGAATGTCATGGCGGACGCCCAAATCCAGTATCAGAAATATTACTGTTTTTGTGTCACAGAATGTAGTTTTAAGAGATTTTCAGGCGAGAATGTACTTTTTTAAAATATAAAAATAGTTTATAAATAGTTTGTTAATAAAGATAACGTCTATTTGAAAATTAGCTTTGACATTTTCGGACATGTGAGCTTCAGATGGTCAGCGGCCGTTCTGCGCTCATGAAGCCGCCCGAGAGCACCTCACCTCGGCCAGATCTTCTAGAATATGATGCTGGCTCAGATGTCTCTGTAGTGGTTAAACATGATGTAACACCGAGTTGAAATTTTCAACAGCCCTGTGTGGTGGTAATAATGCACGGGAGACAAGAAGATGGCGTATTTCCCCGAGTTTAAAGGCGCAATAGGTGATTGTCTTCAGAAACATGTTTTGTTATGCTGGTTGAAAGTCTCTTCACATCCCGATAGCAATCATTAAGTTAAGTGGTCTAAATGTATTTATCTGTATTTATATATTCTGTGGAAGGCGTAGGAAATGTTCATCCAATCAAAATGCTCGGTCCGAGCGTTTTAATTAGTTTTCCTACCTGCCTGTCAACGTATATATCTGCATACCTCTGCGCACCCTGTTCGCGCAGACAGGATACGTCATCAGCGCGTTCACGCACGCTGTGCAGACAGAGCGAGAATGGCAGACAAACATCAACAACCCGATCTTCCTTCCTG